GCATCCCACATGCCACAACTAGAAGGACCCACAACTAAGAATATGCAACTATGTACTGGGGGCCTTTGGGGAGAAAAAGGAAAAAAATAAAATCTTTAAAAAAAAAAAAAATGCAAATGTGGGACTGGCCCGGTGGCACAGCAGTTAAGTTCGCACGTTCCGCTTCTCGGCGGCCCGGGGTTTGCCGGTTCGGATCCCAGGTGCAGACATGGCACTGCTTGGCAAAAGCCATGCTGTGGTAGGCGTCTCACATATAAAGTAAAGGAAGATGGGCATGGATGTTAGCTCAGGGCCAGTCTTCCTCAGTAAAAAGAGGAGGATTGGCAGCAGATGTTAGCTCAGGGCTAATCTTCCTAAAAACAAAACAAAACACAAAGCTTAGAGAAAGATTTAGAATTATGTTATATATATGCTTTCGCTTGTAAGTAGTGATGAAAATAAAATGTGCTACACCAGGATCTAAGAAAAGCCACTAAGACAGCTGGCACTGAAAAGCAGTGACTGGAGGGACTGGAGCAAAGCCTGAACTGGACAGAGCAGACAGATAGCAGAGACCCCAATGGGTGGCTTTGTGATTCCATGGTTCCAGGATTGAAGGGTTAATTGAATAGCTAATCATTCCATCTCTTCTGGTTGCTCCAGTTTTCTGAGGTGCCCTCTCTGTAATTTGGGGGGACTGGCAGTTTTAGATGTTTATCTTTTACCCTTATAATGTGTGGGATTTTTTTGTCCCTCTCCTCTTTCTGTTTCACCTCCTCACCTCTTCCCCCCCTTTTTTCTGGAGGATTCATTTGTTAAAGAAGTCTCCTGTCAGCGACTTGGAATGCGGGTTCTGACTGTGCCTGACCACAGAGCTCTTTGATGTTTTTCCAAGGCTGACTTCTCACCAGATCCCTGGTTAGGTGTTTTTTCCCCCAGCACTCAGAAGCCTATGAAGTGAATTTGCCCTATATCTTTGATATGAAGGGTTGGTGGGATCTGCTCTATCCTTATGGTCAATTAATTGCCAGAATCTATGTGTACTTGTTGATGCCTTTACCAGAGAGTTCCTGTGTATATTCAAGAAAGGGCTGAGACTGTTATGCCTGAAAGACTCTGGAAACTTGAGAATCTGCTCACCCCTTCCCATGGAGATTTCCACAAGGATAAGGTTGCGCTCAGAGGCTCACCCTCTCTTCCTCCGTCATGGTATCGGGATTCTGCCTTAATCACTCCATCATCCTGCCAGCCCTGTCTCATTTCTCATACAGGAATGCTCCCTCCTCCCAAGCTCAGCGTGAACCACCAGTCTTGATGCTTTATCTGGTCCAGGCTCTAGCCCTTAAATTGTCCGTCTGGCTTTGTGTTTCATTTGACCCTAATGCACTGGGGCGCACTGTCTCAAAGAGAATTATGTTGCTTCCAGTGTCTGAGTGCATTTCTCATTTCTTACTGCTGCTCCTGAGCAGATCTGTAACTTCAAGGTTAAGATAAGACACATTCCATCAGAACTATGTCGTCATCCTTGCCAGCTTCTGATCTGTGACTGTCCAGGAGATTTACAAGACAATTGCATGCCATTCTTTACAGAATATTATGGTTGGACTCAGACTCCTGGCATCAGGCCCAATTTGATTTGTCAGCTGTTACCCATTTCCCAAAGAGAAAGGGACCTCAGCCATGTCAGGCAGGTCTTAAGAGTGGGAAAGAGGGAATTGATCTGACTCTTTATTTCCTTATGTTTTAGGGAGAGGAGTGGGCACCAGAATATTTTTGTCTCTTTCCTCATTGAATTCGCTTTTTTCCTGAAAGATTTCACTAAAATGTTAGTGTTGCTCTCATTCTTTCCTGCCCTTTATCCCTTCACAGAATTACAGTTAGTTTTTTCATTCTGCCATCTTCAGTGCTTTTCTGAGTTTTAAGGAGTAAGAGTGGATATTTTTAACCTTGGGAGAGAACGTACCTGTCTGTTCTCTGAAGGTTTATTAGTTTGCCTGCGCCTAGCTAACAGGCACTGCTCCTCCTTTCTTGCTACCTGCTAACATGTTGGGTGAGCTGCAGGAGTTACTGCATGTGATATGGTTTAACGGCTTAGGAATTTGGAAGCTCATGTATTTCCTACTGCTGTTGTATTCGGCCCTATAACATTTTTACAAAAGCTTCTCTTTAGGGGACTTACCAGCTCTTTGATTGCGACATAAACTCGCTCATTCCCTAGGAGGTAGGCAGTGGGGATTTATTTGACCCATTTTAGTGATTCCAGGGTTAGATCTAAAATTATTTACTCCAGATCACACATGGCAGGTTAATCACAGAATCAGAACCTTGATCTAATTCCTTTGGCATTGTTTTTATCCTTTAACTACGAAGAGTTAAAAAAAAAAGTTAGGAAGAGACAAAAGAGGCAGTTTTTATTCAGAGATTTCCTGATGGGTCCATTCAAAGTTGAGGAAATCCTGTGTAGTTGAAAAATGTCTGCTTTGCTCTTATACCCTGTAGTTTCTTCTGTTTGATAACCAAAACAATCACCAGTCTCTGCTTTTCCTGCCCCTTTTTCTTATTCTCCTATGGCACCAACCTCTGGCTCTCAAGACCCATATCTATCTGTAAAGCAGAGCAGGATTTTGGCGCTCTCTAAAATGTTCTTTAGAGCCAGGAGAAAGGAGAATTTATGGGATTGCAAGCCTCTAAGTGTCTCTTTTCTTTATCTCAGTCCTCCGTTTCTCAGGTATTAGGAACTATTGATGTACAGGGTTTTTAATTATTATATATTAATGTTTCATGTGGGTAGTAATTATTTTTAAAATTTGTTTTATCACATTACAAGAACAGCTAATGAGAAGTGGTTTTACTTTTAATTTAACAGTAAAGATTGTGGCTGAGCTGCTCTCCCTTCCCCTTTTTTAAACTACTTAACGGTTAAATTTTTTTCTACCTGTAATTTCAGTTGAAAGGTTCTTTGGTAGTGCTTCAATTTTCTGGATTCTGTTTCTAATAATCGTGCAAAGAAGGAAAGTTGTATGTATCTTTGAAATACTTCCCTTCCCCCTTTTCCTGTTAGCCTCCACCCAAGCAATTTTAATTAACTGTTCAGTGACAGATGGTAGAAAAGGCCTTGTCTAAAGTGCTTCTTGTGGGCTGGATTAGGGGGTAGGTGGTTTGTACTGATCCTGTTGTGGAAGGACCTAGCCTTTCCCCTCCCCCTTTCCAGTTGAGCTATAATCCTGTTAGATGATCTTAAAATGCTATTGATTAACTTCCAGTGCTCTTGGAGGAATAAACACAAGTTTTGGATTTAAAACCCAAGAACCAATTCCCTTGAGCTCTGAATGCCTGGCCTGGAAGCCAAGGGAGGTACCTTCCAACTTCTCCACCCAGTCTTCACTGAAAAAGAAAGTTAAGCCTTTTAACTTTTCCGTTTGCCTCTCCCCCCTTAGTCTAGTACTGCTGCCAGTTGCCATGGCAACGGACTGGGACAGCTGCGCAGTGGCGCCCAGGCAGCTGGGTGGGGGCGGGGGAGCTGCCAGCCCGCCAAGCCCCAGACCTGGGAGGGGAGGCCCCTCCTGTTAGCCCAGAGGGAAAGAAAGAACTGGGGCGATCCGGTAGGTAAGGGAGGGAACCCCCATTCATCTTCTACCTTTGGGGCTTCTCCTCTGCATGAAGGTATAAAGGGAGATTTTCCTCTTACCTCCCTCAAACTGAAAAACACATATGTAAATCCTTGTTTTTCCTCGTGAGGCAGGGGAGGCCATAGCCACAATGCTTAACTGCATGCATCTAACCCGGGGCTGGTTTTAACCCCAGCGCTCTGACCCAAACTGCTCAGCTCCCGGAAATTCCAAGGTGAGTGGGGGTGGGGGTGGGGTACTCTCCCTGGAATATGACATTTCCTGTCTCTGGTGAGGTCGGAGGCTGTTTTTATTTTAAATAAATCAAATCAGGGTTTTTTTTTTCCTTGAAGCTTAGGACTCTCTCCTAAATTCATGGAAAAATTATTTTGAAACCCCTTACCTAAGGTACTTTCTTCCCCCCACTCCTTCTTCCAAATAAAGTATTTTAAAGAAACTTAGTTTTATTACAGGACAGTAATGGGTATAGACAGTTTTTTGGGAGGGCAGATGTATTGCTAGTAAGTTCTGGGGATATGGTTTCCAACTATATATTCTTGGAATAATTCCTTAAATTTTGCTAATTTGAAGTAAATTGATAAATGCAATTTTTTATGCTGCTGGACTTAAGTAAAATTCTGAGATTAGTAGTGGCCTTCCCTATTCCTGAGAGTGGTCTTCTGGTCACGATGGAAATATTTTAGAGAGTGCTGAAAAAAATCTCTAAAGATTACAGCAAAATAAAAATGGAGTTCAGCTGAGAAAACAGTTCCTGCTACTCTATCATCCAGACTGTGGGCACCATTTAACATGGTTAAGGAAGAATTCTTAAAAATGATTATGGTAACAACAACGTGGGAATTTAAAAGACTAGATTCTCTGCTGAGTCCCCCCTGGTTGTGCATATTTCTGTGCTTAACTCAGTTTCCATTTGTGTGGCTTTGCTTCAGCTTTCTTTGGGCCTATGAATGGTTCCTCTGTGTTTCAAGGCTTCATGCTGATGTGAGTCTGGGGCCAGACTACTTTTTCCTCCTCCTCTTCCTTTGGCCCAAAGTCAACTTCAGTTAAGAGGAGAGGTACCTCCTTAGCTATTTGGATTGGTTGAACTTGGAGAATTACTGAACAATCCAAAGACTAATTTTGATTTTTAGGACTAAAAAAATGTTTTCTTCTCCCTGCCTCCCTCCTATCCCTAAGTGAAAAAGGAGGCCTAAGTGTGTTTGAGATGTCAGCCTTGCTTTTGTGAGCTGATGGATGCTCTGAAGGGACAAGCTCAATTTGTTGAAGGGAAATGTACCGAGTCGCTGAAAATGTGGTGAAAGGTGCCTGAGCAGGCCTTTTTTGTGCTTCTAAGAGACTAGTCAAGGCGCTCAGAGCAGGAGAAAGTTGCATTTTGGTGGTTTTTGCTTTTCATTTTCATAAAGAACTTTATTCCCTTTGGAGGGAAAGGTTTTCGTTCTTTTAACTGAAGGTTTTCCACATTTCTCGTTGAGTTCCTGGCTTGTAAACAGTTACAGAAGTAGCCAGAAGGAGCATACCCTGCTACTTGTCTTTGGGAATCTGAAATCAGAGGAGTTAGACAATTATCTAATAATTTTGGTCTTGTTACCTGAAGAGAAAGTTGTGGTTGGGAAAGTGGGGCTTGACCTATTTTTTGATTAAATTCTTAGGACTCATCTGTGGAATGCTTCAAGACCCAAGAGAAGGGTACGTGGCATCTTTGTGTTACACCTCCCACATCCTATCAAGAAGAGACAGGAAGTTTTAACTCCTCACGTGGGTACTGACCATTTTGTCCTTCCCATTTGCAGGAACCCGGTGGCCTTAGTCTTCAGGTGGAACAGCGTGCGACATGGGAAAGAAAACCAAGCGGACAGCTGACAGTTCTTCTTCAGAGGATGAGGAGGAGTATGTTGTGGAGAAGGTGCTAGACAGGCGCGTGGTTAAGGGGCAAGTGGAATACCTACTGAAGTGGAAAGGTTTTTCTGAGTAAGTGCCTTCTCTTAGGCTTTAGGACTGCAAAGGTGGGCACCTTTGGTTTACTTCTCTATGAACCACAGCCATCTTTGCCTTTTTCTTTCCCCACCTCCCCTTCCTAAGAGTCAGGAGACACAGCAATAAACTAAACAAAGTCTCCCCCTTCTTGGAGCTGGTGTTCTAATAATAATGCTTTTGAGAAGCAGTATAATGAATTGGTTAGGAGTGTAGACTTGGGAGCCAGATTGCCTGGGTCCAGACTCTTGTTCCATGACTTATGATATGAGCTGGGTGACCTTGGTTAAGTTCCTTAATCCTTTTTCCTCCTCAAAAAAATAGGGATAAGGAATAATACTTGTCATAGAGATGTTGGTAGATGTACAGAGCTTGACACATAAGCTCAGTGTAGGTATAAACTGTTGTTGCTGTTCTTTTGGATATAACTAAGCTGAAATACATACATTTAAGCAGCAGCAGCAGCAGAAATCATCCTCAATGCCATAGCCCATAGCTTTCCAAAATGATCCTTGGATCTCAGAAATATCCTAGAATGAAGCACTTATCTTAATGAGAGACTTAAATCTGAAGGCCACATTTTTTTCTCCCCAATTTTTTTTTTTTTTTTGGAGGAAGATTAGGCCTGAGCTAATAACATCTGTTGCCAATCTTCCTCTTTTTGCTTGAGGAAAATTGTCACTGAGCTAACATCTGTACCAACCTTCCTCCATTTTTTATGTGAGATGCTGCCATGGCATGGCTTGAGGAGTGATGCTAGGTCCACACCCGGGATGTGGGCCTTCAAACCTCAGGCTACCAAAGCAGAGCACATGAACTTAACCACCACACCACTGGGCTGGCTCCTCCCAGTATGTATTTTTTAAAATTTCAGATGTACAGCTGCGGCAAAAGAAATTGAGTAAACACTTGGATACACACTATCTAGTTTCTACAATTAACTTTTACCTTTTTATTTTTATTTTTTGCTGAGGAAGATTTGCCCTGAGCTAACCTCTATGCCTATCTTCCTCCACTTTATATGTGGGTCACCACCACAGCATGGCTGAGGAGTGATATAGGTCCACGCCCAGGATCTGAACCCATTAACCTGGGCTGCCAAAGTGGAGCACGCTAATCTTAACCACTAAGCCACGGGGCCAGCCCCTACAATTAACATTTTAATATGATCTATCATCTATTTCTTTATCCATCAATCTTTTTTTTATTTTGAAGACCTGAGAAACCTTTTTAAGTCAATGAGCTTTAAGAATGATACTGAAATGTTGACTGGAATGTCTGTTAGGCAGTAACTGGCTTTGCGCTGAAGTGCTAAAATAAATTACTTTTTCCTTTGGAATGAATGGAACTAGACACGTTGAAGCATAAAAGAGGTTGCTTGAAAGGTGAAATACATGCAGCTTTGTAATCATTAGGCATTTCTGATTAATTCCCTTCCTATGATTGCCTAATAACAAAGAATGGGTTTCTCAGAACCCCAGTGACCTGAGAGGAGCTGGTTTAGGCTCCTTAGATTGGTGCTGTCCAATAGAAATAAAATGCAAGTCACAGAGGTAATTTTAAATATTATGGTGGCCACATTGAAGAAAAGTGAAATTAATTTTAATAATATGTTTTATTTAACACGATATATCAAAATGCTGTTTCAACATTAATCAACATAAAAATTGACTGATTGGCCAGCCCCATGGCGGACTGGTTAAATTCTCGTGCTCTGCTTTAGAGGCCCAGGGTTTCACAGGTTTGGATCCTGGGCGCGGACATGGCGCCGCTCATCAGGCCATGCTGAGGCGGCATCCCACATACCACAACTAGAGGGACCCACAACTAAAAATGCATAATTATGTGCTGGGGGGCTTTGGGGAGAAAAAGGAAAAATTTTTTAAATCTTCAAAAAATTGAAACATTTTACATTATTTTTTCATGCTAAGTCTTCAGAATTTGATGTATATTTTACATTTTATAGCATAGACTAGTCACTTTTCAAATGCTCAACAGCCATATGTGGCTAGTAGTTACCATACAGAACATCACAGCTTTAAAGTGTAGGGCTTTAAATATACTAGAAGATTCAGTGTTTTGACAGTACCTTTGGATAAAGGTATGAATCAAGAGCATTTGGAACATACGTAAGGTTATTTCATTACGTGGACGAAGGTTTCTCATCCAGAGCTCTGTTGGCGGTGTAGGTGGGACAGGTTGTGCACTACAGGATGCTTAGCACACAGAGCACTAGATATGGGTAGCACGGCAATCAGAATATGCCCTCAGGTTTCTAAAGAGAAGTGGTAACACAGCCTCGTCTGGAGATGGGAACTGTGAGTTTGCGAGACCTAGAGCCTATGAAATAGGGATTAAAATAACACCTAAAGATTTTACAGGTGTTTCTTGGGCCCACTGAATCACCACCACTGGGAAGTCTTGGGCATTTTGAAGGTACTTGAAACTATGTCTGCAGTTGAGCTGCTGGTACCTTAATAGATAAAAGAGGGAAAGACAAGGCTTGGGGTAGACAGATTAAGCATTTCTTCTTTGTCAGAAATGCCCAGGATTTCATTAAAGACTAGAATAAATTTTGCCCCTGCAGCATTGTCTACAACGAAGTACCTGCTGTTTGCTAGGCAGTGGTCAGATTCTACCTCATGTTTTCTCTTTAATTCTCGTAACAGCCTTTAGAGGTATTTTCAGTTTACAGATGACGAAATTAGTGAAGTTATTTGCTGAAGATAACATAACTGGTAAGTGCTAGAACAAGGATCCAGTATCAGATTTCTTTGGCCCTGAAACCTAGGCTCTTTAAATTATAACATGCTGTGTCTTTTGGGTGAAAATTGGTTGATGTAGAAACAGAATACCCATATGGTAGGAAAAGGGATAATCCTGTTACAGGACTGGCTTTCCTTGCTATCAGCAGAGACTCTCCTACCCCGACACTTGCTTGCTTATGTTATAATGTTGGCATACCTCTTGATTTTGGTGCCTTAATTTCTTCTGGGATAGTAAACTATATGGTCTGTGGATTTGGGGGAAAGTTGCTGTATGAGGACTTTTTTTCTTTTTGCTGAAAGAAGAGCTATGAAGGAGAGGCTTTTCCAGTTTTAGTTCAAATGATTTAGAAATTTTGTCTCATTCTTAAGGTCCTCTTACAGAAAGTTATTTAAGTCTGGAGTAAATATCTCAGATTTTTCCATCATTCTGCTTCTTGGGTCAAGTTATTATGGCATGTGTTCAAACCATTCCTTATCTAAAGATTTAGATCTTTATTTAAAAACAAACAAACAAAATACAAAACCAGGGCCAGCCCTGTGGCCTAGTGGTTAAATTCAGCATGCTCCACTTTGGTGGTCTGGATTTGGTTCCTGGGTGCATACCTACACCACTTGTCGATGGCCATGCTGTGGCGGTGACCCACATACAAAATAGAGGAAGATTGGCAACAGATGTTAGCTCAGGGCGAATCTTCCTCAGCAAAAAAAACACCTAAAATGTATAGTGCATACGTTAAAAAAATTTTCCCAAGTCAATTAAGGGATTGTAGAAACTGCTTCTATGATATATTTACAGATGTATCTTAATAGAAACTAGTCCTTACCAAATAACCAAAAAAACTCTCTGCTACTGGCCAGGAATGAAGACAGTACCTGGTCTAGTTTTTTCCATGTAGGTTTTTCTTGCTTTGATTCCATAAACTTATGATGTAGTTGGTGGTTTGGTTTTCTAAAACCCATGTCACGAATGCAGAGAATGATTTTTTTTTTTTTAAGGAAGACTAGCCCTGAGCTAACTACTGCCAGTCCTCCTCTTTTTGCCGAGGAAGCCTGGTCCTGAGCTAACATCCTTGCCCATCTTCCTCTACTTTATATGTGGGACACTTACCACAGCATGGCATGCCAAACAGTGCCATGTCCGCACCCAGGATCCAAACCGGCGAACCCCAGGCCGCTGAGAAGTGGAACGTGCGAGCTTAACTGCTGCACCACCGGGCTGGCCCGAGAATGACTTTTTGAATACCAACTATTTGCTTTCCTCATAGTAGAACTCCCTTGATCCAAGTTTAATTAGCCCCAATTATTTAATTTGGGTTTGGGTTTTTTGTGGGTTGTTTTGCTTATTAATCTAAAAATATATTTGACTACCTGGTGACATTAGACTTGAATCCAGAGCATTGAATTAAGGCACTCCAAATCCCACTCTGAGTCTTCTTGTTATGGTTTGCCTATATTCTAATGAGTTAAGCCATTACTTTTAAGTAAATCTTAAATAAGCCCTTACTTAATGCCTTTTTTCTAAATAACTATTATCAATCTCCCGATATTTTGTTGACATTTCTTCAAAATATAGGTAGCGTATTTAAGACAGTGTAAACTGGGGGTACATGATTTATTAGATTGTCATCTCTTCAGGATTTGCATAGATGACTATATGTCTGAACTGATATTATTTTCCCACTTATAAAGCAGAATTCATGTTTGACTTTTTAACAGCTTTATTGAAGTATAATTTATATACTGTAAAATTCATTCATTGAAGATGTACAATTAAGTGATTTAGTAAATTATTATAAAGCTGTGCAACCATCACCACACTCCAGTTTTAGAACATTTCCATAACCTCCCAAAATTTCTTTGAGCCCGTTTGTAGTTAATCCTGACCCCCACCCTAGGGAACCACTGATCTGCTTTCTGTCTCTAACTTTGTATTTCCTAGACATTTCATATGAATGGAATCAGACAATATATAGTCTTTTAATCTGGTTTCTTTCACTTAGTAGAATGTTTTTGAGGTTCTTCCATATTGTAGCATGTATTAATTAACACTGTGTTCCTTTTTGTTGCTGAATGGTATTCCATTGTGTGCATATACCACATTTTGTTTATCTACTCACCAGTTGACGGACATTTGAATTTGTTTTGTGTCTTTGGCTATTGAAATGCTGCTGTAAATAATTCCGTGCAAGTATTTTTGTGGATGTATTTTTTCATTTCACTTAGATTCTAGGATCAAATTTGTTATTTCCTTTAAGCAAAGGGTTTCTTTCGTTTTTTGCCTACTTATCTTCTTTAAAATAAGGCATTGGATTTCTTTTTCCCCCTCATTCTTTTCCTTTTTTCTCTATTCTTCCTGCCCAGGGAGCACAATACTTGGGAACCTGAGAAAAATTTGGATTGCCCTGAGCTAATTTCTGAGTTTATGAAAAAGTATAAGAAGATGAAGGAGGGTGAAAATAACAAACCCAGAGAGAAGTCAGAAAGTAACAAGAGGAAATCCAATTTCTCAAACAGTGCTGATGATATCAAATCTAAAAAAAAGAGAGAGGTAAGCTTCCTTTCCCCATTGTTCCACAAACTATTCTTTTGCTACCAGCCGCCCCCCCAGAACCTTATTTTGTTTTTTTTTTGTTCTAAGGGTGGCCTGCAGGGTAAATTGTTGAACAAAAGAGCTTCCCAGGGAAGTATGTTGATTAACTACAGTGCCCCCTCCTGGCTGAGTAAGAAATGTAATGTGTGTACGTCCACTGATTGTACTGTTTTGAGGTTCCAAAAGTAAATCCCTGTAAAACATTCAGCCACTCTGCCTTCTCCATAAATAGAAGGCTAAGTTATCTTAGACAGGGAAGGTCTTTGGTGATTTTTCTGAGGATAGAGGGCTTTAAAATGTTTACTGGTTCACTTCCTTTTTTCTTTTGTTCCAAAAATAGCACTTATTTTCAACCCTTTATATTCTTTCTTTTTTTAATTGAGGTGAAATTCACTAATGTACACTTAATCATTTTAAAATGTACAGTTCAGTGGCATGTATATTCTCTTTTGATCCTATTATTTCTACGTACTCCAAATAAATTAATTTTCATCTTCCTTTTGAATCTTTCATTCTGTTTGGAAAGTGTGTTTATGAAATTTTGTTTTATTTGGTTGCTTTAATCCTTCTGATCTTCAGCTGTCAAGCAACTAGCATAAAGCACTGTCATTGTCTCTCTTTCTTCATCTATATCTTTTCCATCTGTGCACACACATACACACCCCTTCTCCCCCCAGCTTCCACTCCTTTTATTTATTTCAAGCTTGTGAAGCCTTTTGTGGTGAAGGATGTATCATATCCTTAAAGTTTAATAAAATAAAAGCATAAGTCTGCTTCTGAATCTTCTAGCATCACTGCCATAAGCATCCCTATTTATCTTCATTCTACTTGGATACCTATTTTTCTAGAGCATTAGTTCTTAGCTCTGGCTGCACGTAGAATCACCAGGGAAAGGGAGGGACTTTAAAAAGACCTCTAGTGCCCAAGATGCACCCCAGGCCAGTTAAATTCAGATTTCTGTAGGTTGGACATAGGCATCAGTATTTTATATAGACTTACACAGGTGATTCCATAGGAGAGAAAATGGGAAACTAGCTTTCCTAAAAGAATTGAAATAAAAGTGAAAGATTGGAGGCTGCAAATGAAAGTGGACTCGGTTTGTGTCTATTTCCTTATTTGTTTCCCTGATTAATTTTATTTATTTCAACCTTCTTTTTAAAACTTCCTTATTCTGGTGAGGTGTGTATATCATTATGGTGTACTGTACTGATAAAGAATTTGAGAGTGCCTTCCCTCCTCTAAGATGTGGTTTGTTCTTTCTTTCTTTTTTTTTTTTTTTTATTATTATTGTCTATTCTGGCTTTTGTCATTTGATTCATTTTCTAGCTAAGTAAAGAGACCAAAAAGCAACACAGCATAAGACTTCTGACTAGCAATTTGTGACATATAGTGTGTATTTCCTCAACCTAAGGTTTCTGTCCTTTTAAAAAGGAGTAATTTGGCTCAGAGCCACTGGCGAGCGCAGAGAGTTCGTTCCTAGGCCAGGTTCTGATGCTGCTGACCTTCAAAACAACCCGCACATGTCCCTTACATTGTAATGTTCATCGGGGGCCCCTGACAGCATTCTCAGTACTGCTGGCAGCTGTCAGGTAGGTAGCTGGGAAGATAGGTGATTGTATGCTTTAAAGGTACAGGAGGGGATTGCGTTTCTTTCTTTAGACCACTGTAGAAGAAATTTGTTAGTTATGCCTGATTTAAGATTACTGCCTGTGTGATGATTTTAGCATTTTCCTCGCCTCCGCTCCCTTTCAGCAGCTTGAACGTTTTTCTTCCCTTCCCTCCCTATGTGGCAAACTGTTTTCAGCCGCCAGCTATGATTTATGACTCAGTTCGAGTGCCAGCATTCCAGCTGTGAGCAGCTGTGTGCACATCTGGGAACCTCCTCCCCTTAAGTGCCCCCAAAAGACGCTGTTTTTGAGTCAGTGTCTCCCCTGATCCATGCATGGAATTTCCTTCTCAATGTGGGTTCTGGTATCTTTGGGGACCACCTGGACCCTGAATGCTTTGTATCTCTCAGAGGAAGGCAAGATGAATGTCAGATCAAAGAGATTTTATTATGAAAATCAGGCATCAGAGATTTAGTTCATTTGGCCAGTCTTTCTAAATTTTTTTTATGTGTTGCCACTAGATAAGCTTGCATTATCTTTCATAATAAGTTTTTTAAATTACCTGGTTTGTATAAAATTTTTCCATTTTGCTCTCACCATTGCCATCACTCCCGAATCAGACCCTGAGCTCCTTGTCTAGAGGGCATGATTGCATTTTGACCAAGTTTGAATAATCCCCTAAGGAATTAACAGTTTATTTTAAATCACTGTCCAATTCTGTCCTCGAATGCTAATGCCTCGTGCACATCAGGAGGGGACAGGCACAGGCCAGGGCCTCTTCTCCAAGGGCGTGGGCTCTGTAGGCTGTGAGTGCTGAAAGAGATATGCTGTTTTGTGGCACTACCTTGCGCCATTCTTATCTCTGTTCCTTCATAAATATAAATGACTGTGAAAAGAAGTACTAAAAATATTGGTCAGTGTTAAGGTAAACTGAAAATCTTAAAAAAATAAAGATTGGGGGTGGTATATTTGAAATTTATAAAATGAGAAAAGGGATTAGTTCAGGTAAACAGACTTATCTCAGAAGCAACAATTTAGGGGTAGTCAATTTATAATATTAAGGAGATTAGAAGATTAGAGGAGTTCCTAGATGATGACTCCAGAATATTTTAAGGGATATTAAAGGATTTTAGGGGCCGCTCCTAATCATTTGAAGGAATACTGGAAGGACAACTGCATCTTGCAAAAATCTCTCTTGGCATTACTGTCATTGATTGACCCGTATTGTATTTGTTAAGTTCTAAGAATTTTATGAATTGGTGACAGAAATGGTATCAGGTGATATTTACTTAGGTTGTGCTTTGTTGAGCTGAGAAACCAGGAGGTTTTGTACTCTTTCCCCAAGCTGTAACCTTTCTTCATCTTTTCTTTATAGCAGAGCAATGATATCGCTCGAGGCTTTGAGAGAGGACTGGAACCAGAAAAGATCATTGGGGCAACAGATTCCTGTGGTGATTTAATGTTCCTAATGAAATGGTGAGAGAGATTGGGCCTCACTCTACGATTGTGTTTCTTTGCCAGTGACTTGAATTTGTGTGGAAGATAGGGAGGGAAGCCTGAGTATTCCCCCCAAAAAATTTGCTCGCCAAGGATCTTTAACTGATACCAACTGTCAGCATCAAATGAGAATTACAGTTCAGAATGGATTTAAGACATTCTCAAGCTTTGGTATTAAGCCAAATTATAGTATATTAGCCCATATACCGGAAAAAGCTAGATTTGAGGTAGGAAACATATAAACATGACCTAACCATTTATTTACATGGTTCGGAATCATTTACCGTCAGACTGTGAGCCTGTGGCCGTGGGATAGGAGTTGAGTGAGACTTTCTGCCATCACTGAGGACCCAGACCACTGAATAATGTCTAAAAGAGAAAAATTATCTCAACAAAAAGCATTAAGAATCATAGTGGCGAAAGCACAAGTTATTTCATCCGGTAGAGGGAATGGCTCTTAGAGGAAAGTGTAGTTATTTCCCCTCAATTTGGTTTCTTAAAGACAGGGTGATTTATGGGATGGCCCTCGCTACCTCTCTGTTTCCAAGCGTTATGGGCTTGTGATTTAAATCTGGTCTCTAAATACAGGGTTGGTGCTACGGTGCCACTAAAGAAGCTAATTACCTTAAAAGTTGTATAATCAAAAGGTTTAATATCTTATCTGATCGAAATTTTGCTGGTAAATTACCCCAAGCCTATATTTGAAGCCACTGTATTCTGTCAGAAGTGTATAGCTATATTGACTGCTTTTCCCACTCAGCCATATGTGTACTTGTGATTTACATTCATATATTAACCAGCTCTCTCCACCACAGTCCAAATTTTTGAGTATCTGCTCTCAGCTGTGTGTTTTCCCCTCCTCTCCTCACCCATAATACTTACCTCTATGAATTGAACATCTCAGTTCTCTAGAAAAGGAGGTAGTTGTCTTTGCTCACATCTCAGTGGAATTTTAATTTAAAATATTTTTTTTTTTTATTTGGAATCCTGGTTAAGGAACTTCCTAGATCTTTTATATGTGATAGTATAGTCTGTGTAACTTGGATAACTGAAATTTGTAGCTAATTCCTACATTTTGTTTTACTGACTAGATTTTACATTTTCCCTTACTCTCCCTTTTATAACTTCTGTTGCTTACTTACATTTCTGTTTTCCTATTGTTCTAATCCACTGTTCTGACCAAAAGGATAATGAGTGTTGAAAAGGCCACAAGATAGGAGGAGGGTTAGGACGCTTTCACTTAGATGATCTAGAAACTGGATTGATTACTTTATGCATAATCAATAGGGCTGAATGTAGATTTGATTGTGTGTTCACTCACATGCTCATACACAAATAAAAATTACAGGAGCAGAATTTATATAATGTAGTTTTCAGCCTTTTGATTAAGCCTATGTTTTCCATCTAAATTCTAGCTGAAGACTTCTGTTTCTATCTGATATAGTAAAGTGATATTTACTAATAATTTATTTACTTAAATTTCTCCTCGCAAATATTGGACTCTTAGGGTCCTTTTCACTAGGAAATCAAGTAAGCTAAAAGCATATAATGACATAAACCTGTGCTTGGACAGACTTTCACTCTTGCTTCCTCTCCTTCTAAGTCTCATATTCTTTCTCTCCAGGAAAGACACAGATGAAGCCGACCTGGTTCTTGCAAAAGAAGCTAACGTCAAATGTCCACAGATTGTGATAGCCTTTTATGAAGAGAGACTGACATGGCATGCATATCCTGAGGACGCGGAAAACAAAGAGAAAGAAACAGCAAAGAGCTAAAGGAGGGGGTGGTCTCTGTCATTTCTCTTTGTACATAATACATTCACCTCCCAACCTCCTCTCCCTTCAACCCACCCCCTTCTATCCTAAACACATCCATAAAAAATGTGCTTATCACTGTGCTCCACAGGAGAAATGTTGGTATTGGTTCTCTTGTAACATAACTGGTGGTCTGATTCATGATAAGTGTCTCTCTGTGAAGACCAGGCATTTACATACTGTTTGTAATTCCTACAGTTTTTTCCTTTGCCCTGATCTCTTCCTTCTGCTCCCCTGTGACCTCAAGATGAGTTTTAACTTTTTAACCACCTTAGAGTCTTGATCTTTCCACGGTTGGTCACTTTTTAGATTGTGGGATTTTGTCACAATGATGATGAATTTAGGTTTCTTGCTTTGATTCTTAGAACATGTTGATGACCAGCTAGCCTTTGTTTTGAGATGCTGGGATGGAAAAGATGTGGCCCATCTTTTTAAAAAGCCAATAGCAACTGCCTACCTGTCGGGGCTTTCCCAACCTCATTCAGCTCTACCCAGGAGGATACAGGGTTCCTGGTGTGGTCTTCTGGGCCACCCTCTGTTGTTCATCCTCACTGTTCCTCCCAGAATAGCTCCATCCTTTGGAGGACTTGAAATTTTTGCATTCAAATTTGTCAAGGCACTTCTTTTAGCCCCAGGACTTTTGGCCTTCTTTCTTAGCAATCCCTGATTCTGCTTCTGCAAGGCGGTGTAATCTGTCACAAAATGATGAGATAATTAACTGTGGAGATTTTTAGCTATTGGTACATGAGGATGATGGGGTAGGGTACAGTTGTCTTTATTATCACGTATGATATATATGTATTATCTCCTTCCACCCCTCGCATTTGGACTATATATTCTTATAGGTGTGAGTGACTGCCTGGTGCTTGCTTGTGCCAAGGTGCTAGGCACCCTCCAACCCTGCCAACTTTTGTGGCCTCCCAAAGCATTCTTGTTACCAAAGAGGCTTCAAACCTGACCCTCGCTTCTCAGTGGACCCAAGTTTCCCCTCCATGCAGTTACTTTCAGTGGGGAATTCTTGCAGGGGAGCCATTGGCCACAATATCAATTATGATGTTCACAATATCATAAGTATTCATCACATTCATAGTCATAAATTTCCTGCTTTGTTGACTCCTGGATTTGCCACTCAGTCTCCAAAGTATTAATTCTCTCTCTCTCTCTTTTTTTTTGTGAGGAAGATTCACCCTGAGCTAACATCCATTGCTAATCTTCCTCTTTTTTTGCTTGAGGAAGATTAGCCCTGAGCTAAGATCTCTGCCAATCTTCCTCTATTTTTTTGTATGTGGGATGCCTCCACAGCATGGCTGATGAGTGGAGTGGGTCCGTGCCAGGGATCCGAACTGGTGAACCTGGACCACCGAAGCTGAGCATGCAGAACTTTAACCACTCAGCCAGGGGGCTGGCCCCTAGTCTTTCTTTTTTCCACCCTCAAACTCTTAGTTGTATCTTATTTTTTAAAATGCATTTCTATTAAAGACTACCACTTCAGAGAGTGACAAGCCCTGGCATTAATATGTTGACACAACCTTCTCTCCCTACTCAGCAAAATATGTCCCTTTTGGCTTCCTCCAGCTTTGCCATTATCCTGAGAGGTTATTTTTCTCATCATATCCTGCCTTTGTCCTCTAAGAAATGCCCTACTTCTCTTTACCCTTTTCATCTTGTAGTTGAGGGGGTGCTAGAGGATCAAGACTAAAAGTAAGAAAATAGCAGGGTTTTGAGCATCCTTGTCCCAGCCCAAAGCTGAGGAAATAAGAATAAAATGCTTGAAATAGCCTTAACTCTAGAGTTCACCAGCCATTGAGGTTTTTGTTGCTTTTGATTTTTAAAACATATAGCTGTCTGGCCAGGAGCATTCAACCATTTCTGGATTATTCAGAGTAATGAGGGGAATGGATAGATTGCTCCAGTTCACAGATGAGCCGAATAATATGCAAATCATATGCCCATTCATAGCATTTGTTAACATTGCTTCCCTGCTCAGCTGCTGATTGAATTCTGTGTGCTTGTATAAATTATGTCAGAAATTATACTGCACAGTTGAGAAGACAGCTGTTGCTGCAGTGACGTGACAGACTGGAACAATGAAGCTTCTGGGTTAAGTCATCCAGGAAAATCCTTCTGAATGGGAATGTGATTGGGTGAGAACGCATAACCCACACCTCAAGTGGGTAGAAGTTTTAACTCCATCTTCCTTTACTCTCTGAAGGAATTAGAGGCCTAGATCAAGTGCTAGTTAACTGACAGTTGTTAGTTCTTCATCTGATGGGTATCTAAAAGAAAGGATAGTCAGGAAACAGATTTGTCATAAAGTAACCAAGGATATCAATTCGAGTAGACAAGAATAGGACGAAAGTAGGCCAGGGCCCCTGAGGAGGTGATCTGGGTCTCAATTTGCAGGTGGAGAAAACGACAGCTTATCCACGTAGCCAGTGTGTCTCTCCCAGGAACTGTGGGCATGTAAACCACAGTGACCATATTTTGAAAACCAAAATCTAGCATGTGAATGAAGAACACAACAGAATTATCTTGTGCTGAGATTGTTCCTCAGAAACCTGGGATACGTGGTTGTTGGGGTTATGGGTAATATTTAAGGCATTCATCAAAATCTGATTTCCTTTTAACAATATAACCCCAGTATCATCTACTACTCATTACCCCTTTAATACCTTGCTTTTCACTTCATTTTTTTGTACCCACAGTTTATTGAATCATGGTCTGGTACTGAGTGCCACCGAAACAACTTTGTTCTCTCCCTGCCTACCCACAGCTTCTTCTCCAGAAATAAAGGGAGCCAGAGGCCAGTACTGCTTTTGGCCCTCAGCAGAAGGGAAACCAGATGCAAGCATGTGCCTCCAGCATTTGTTAGTGCCAAGTAGCTGTCCTGGCCCTTGGAGAATTGCAACTTCAAACAGAAACCTGTTTTCATGGGCTGTCTCCTCTCAGAAAAGTTAATAGCTGGAGGCTAAGTAAGCACTCTTAAACCTCTAAGTCTCAGGTGCTCAAAGTCTGTTTTTCCTGTGTTTAGACCTCTTTCAAAACATCTTTCTCATGCTGAATTTCTCCTGGTAATCAGCATTCAAGGATCTCCCTTTCCACAGAATATAGCAGAACTTCGCCCAGCAGAGTCTACCAAGGTCAGTGTAGCTGCTTTTCTGAGCCCTGGGCTGGGCATATGCCCCCCTGTTAAAATCAGCTGTTGGGAACGTCAGCCCTGATGGAAGCACCCTTTTTTAACCTGGAGAGAGCCGTATCATTTTTCCTCCTGCAGTCCAGTTTTTGTCTGCACAAGGAAATGTTTGGGCCTGTGGTGCTCCTTAATGCTCAAAAGTCTCCGTGCTCCTTGGCTGTCCCTGAGCCATAGCTACGCACTACTTGTTGATGAGAAGTTAGTCCTGTTCTGTAGCCACCCTGCAGTCTGTTTTCCTTATATTCAAGCCAAATCCTAGGGCCTTGGGGAAGTTGCTTGGGATTTTCATCATGTGATTTTGTTGCTTCTGTGTTTAGGCCCGCTCACCTATGGTATAGAGAGGGGTCAGCAGGATCTGTAGGCTGGGGAGCAATTGTCTTTGCCCTTAGGGTTCATATTTGAGGGCCTAAAATACTACTTTGCAGTGACATGAGAACCCCAGGAAGAGCTGTGTCATTAGATTTGAAATGTGGCAGTTGTTTCTCACAAATTAGGTCACAGGAAAAGCTCACTTTGCACCCATGACTCCATCCTTTTGCTTTAGATTTTTAGAGTAAATCTTACAGTGTTGAAGTCTATACCTTTGTAGTGAAACCACCAAGCAAGCATACCCTGTGGTGAGACGGAGAGGAAATGTGTGGACCCAGTGTATTCCGGTTTCATGCTGGCTTTATCACTAGTCATCAAAGTTATGTTTTCGAAAATAGAGATGTTACCAGCCTTGCGCCCAAGAGTATATGCTCAGGATTGGGTGCCCCCCATCCAATTAATAATGGTGGGTTTGTATTGAGCCGTTCATATTTCAGCCACCTTAGTGTACATCAGCATTTCATTCAACAAACACTTTTTGGCTCTGGGGATACAAAGTTCAAAAAGCTGCAGTCCCTGACTTAAAAGAATTTTCATACTGGTGTGGGATCAACTGACTATTAATAGTTCAGTGTGATAAATGCTATAAATGGGTACACATTTTTTATTTGGGGGCAGAGGCAACTGGTTGGTATAGTTCACGGTGCTAAAGTAGGAGGGTGACAGTTGGTTCATATGTGGAAAAGGCTCATGTGACCTTGGATGAATGTAGCTAAATAGCTATAGATCCACCACAACAAGGGCTTGTTTTACTCCAGGAAATAAAGGTAACTAAAGGTTAGTTAGACATGCTGTTACTGAGGGGAAACAGCAGGTGAGTGGGCATTGAGAACCTGATTTCTGCCCCTATTTTAGGCTCTCTGCCTAAGAATTTAATGGTCCAGTTAATTCTTGCTTATGGGAAGTATTAACTGTGTTGCAGGTGTGTTGTTACATTATTGTGGGTTCTGTAACATTGTTTCCTCATGGACATTTTATCAGAGCTGCTCACATCTTTTTCAGTTTCTCATCCTTTTTGGAGGAGTTAACATGAGGCTGGCTTGAAGCCTAAAACAGGGACATACTTTCCAATGACAGGTGTGCTAAGAAGAAGGCTTGGGGCACTTCTCTTAACACCTGGGCATCTGTTCTGGGCAGTGTAGTAGTTTTAGTCAGCACTGCAAGATGGTAATTTCTAAGCAGATACTTGTGTCAATTGTGTGGAAACCTTGCCCAGAAATACACATCCCCCAGAGTTTCAGATTTAGTCAATCTAGGGAGGTCTAGGGTGAGGCCTTGCCTTGTTAGGAAAAAGCCTTCTTAGTTCTGACCCATACCATGACATGAAAAAGATGCTTTTCTCTGCCTGGATAATTGAGAGCTGACTAGCTTTGAAAGTCAGAATTCCCAGGAATTAGAGTAACTTTTGGAAAATTAAAGTGTAATGGTTCTTTGGCTAGCTTCATAAAAACAGTTCCAGTTTCTTTTTGCTTGCTCTGGATTTCTTGAATTTTAAACTACCTCATCTTGTCTTTTTAGAGTTGCTTCACCTTGTCATTGCTACTTTAACATCACACTTGACTCGGTGGTTTTCTAAGATGGGATTTTTCCTGCTCATGGACAGCATGTTCTTTTGCCTTTTCATCCTGATCCTCTTTTCACCTAACATCATCTCCTATTGCTCCTCTATCAGAGAAGTGTTTTAAAATAGTTTAAAATTTGGTTTATGGGAAGAAAGTGATCCTCCAAAGCTATTTGTCTCTGAGGTCAGTGAGAGAAGGAGTTAAAACAAGGTGGTGGGAGAGGGGACAGAACCTGCACTGGTGGCACCGACAAGGGAAGAGCCATTAATTAAGACAATTTCAGAGTCAACTGATTGTGATCATTAATGTCACAATAGATCAAAACCTAATTATCACAGCCTAGGTAAGAGCCATCAGTATTAATCGGAAAATCTAATAGGAAACTATTATCAAGAAATTAGGCCAAATTGAATGCAATGAACTTTTTATCTTGTCATTCTCCTCTTTTTTTTTTTTTTCCTGTTTTGTGATGTCCCCTGGCATTGGCAGGTGTGACCCTCACAGTTGATCCAGGCCCCAGTGGCCAGTTCATCACCCTTTTTCAGAAATTCCACCACAGACTGAAGCTGAACTGTCATTGCTGCTTTAATCAGTCTTGAACTTTCTCATCACCTGGAGTTGTTCAGTGTGATCAGCAATACATGGAAAAAGGTTTATATTTAGGTCTTGGAATGGTGGGTCCTTCCTGGAACTGGAGTGTCCCTGGTGAACGTTATATCGTGTGCTGATAAATCATTCTTGGAGCTTCCAGCGTATGTGGAACCCTGCTCTGGCTGCTGCCGATGGGTATGGGGGCCAGGAGGGTGTCCTGCCTGGAGATTGTTTGAGACGATAGAGTTTAATCAGGTTACGGCACTTTTCAGTCTCAAGTGAGTGTTTTACAGGTAGCTTTATGATTTGATTCCAAACCAGGGCTGGCTGTGGGTTTAGGGTTTTCCCTCTCCTTTTAGGATAAGGGTCGTAATGATTTCCACCAGATTCCAGTGTAAATCCAAAGGAGGTGAAGAAGTGTTTTTCCTTTTGCCTTTCTTTTGTTAAGGACTTATGCCTCTGGCAGGAGGAAAAAATACTACAAGAGTCTTATGACTAATGATAGAGAACGTTTCATCCCCTCTCCCTGAATGCAAAGATAGGGGTCACCATTTATATCCTTAATCTTCAGCTGCTGTGGAGATGCTGCACCTCCTAAAGTCAAGCTGAGGCAGGAAGGTTGGGAAGGTGCCCTCTGGGTGTTGGGGGACGGGCAGGAAGCAGCAGGAGGGGTTCGGTGGTGCTAGGATTCCTACCTCCTGGCTGAGCCTCTAGAGGATGTTGCTGCTGCGGGTGCTGTTGCTGGCCTTTCCCCACCAACCTTGCAGCTCAGCACTGCCCACGCCAGCCCTGGGGAAATGGTTCTTACCTTCCTGCTGGAGTGTGGTCTTGTGTCGTTCTGGATTTTAGGAATTTGGATTACTCAGTGCAGAACTTTGGGAATTGGTGTGACTTAGTCCTTCACCTCTTAGGGTAAAGTGAATATTTCTTTATAAAAGAATCATGCCCTTAATGTTTAAAACATAATTTTATTTTCAAAATGTCCGTTAATACATGACTTTCAGAATCAGTTTGTTTCTCCAAGGTTCCTCGCTAGATAAATAATAGGCCCTCAGTTAATACTTGGGGGTTGATTGAGTTCATCTAGTTTGCAGAGGTGTGCCTGCCTGCCTTTTGCTCCCAAGTGTGCTCTAAGAAGTCAGATGCTCTAAGGAGTGGAACAAGAACTGAGTGGGTGCTGACTGTGTGTGCCAACCTCCTCAACTGATCCATAATGGTTGACCTTGGGCAAGTCACTCCTTTCAATGCCTCAGTTCCCCATCTGTCAAATGGGGGTAATAATACTGACCTACCTCACAGGGGTGTTGTGAGGCATTGTAAATCAAAGTTGATAGAATACTTTAGGGTCCTAGATGGAGGATGCCTTGAGCTGAAGTCTAGGGCTGACATAGGCTTTAGTCCTCACTGAGCTGTCCCAAGGTTTTAACTACTTAGTGACCTTGGCAAGATCTCTGCCCCCCACCCCTCATCAAAGCTGCTAGTCCAGATGTTGACAGTGTTTTTGTGAATGTTGGAGTCTTAATAGTCCAGACGTAGGATGTTATGGAGGAAGGCACTTAGTATTTTCTATGTCTTGCATCCACAAAGAGGCTGTTTCACACTCAAGAGCATTGGATTAGGGAATCATGAGGCAAGGATGCTACTGTTTGTTTCTCTTCAGGTTGGGAATTAAGGTCCCATACCCCAGGGGCTTGGGACAGACTGGGGCTGTCTCAGGGGCAAAGCAAACACAGTGGGTTTGACTTATGTAGTTGCTTATTGCTCCCCGAACTGATCCCCAGACATCTAGGTCACTGCAGCACTTCGTGATATCTGTACCTGAGCCTCCGCTTCCCCAGAGGAACCAGCGGGTTTGATAAACATAACCATTTCCTCCATCCCCCGCCAGAAAAGAGCCACATTGGAAGTTTTTTTTCTAGATATATGTTTAACACTCAGAATCAGGCATTGATACTCCTTAAAACTTCATCCAATTCACTGTATTCAGCATCTGTCACCTCTTTCTCAGTGTCCACAGTCTGAACCTGACATTGACGTCTTTTCACTCTGGTTTTGGAAAACTTTGGACACTATTTCTGTTTGCCCAGGTGTGGGCTCAAGAGCCTTACTCTCTATCTCAGTTTAGGGGCTCATCTGGCTCCTCTACCCAATAGGGCTCTTTCTCTTTCCCTCTCCTTGGCCCTAGATTTGTAACTCGTGAAAAAGCACAAGGTCCTGGCCCCTTGCTGTGGTCACATTCTGGTTCTCCGTGTTTTGTGGACTCTGCTCTGCTCTTCACCCAGCACCGGCGGCACCAGGTGGTTCTGTGGAGTCCTGGAGGATGGAGAGAGCACAGTCTGACATCCTGCCAAGTAGCCAGGAGTTGATTCACCCATGGCCTCCCCACCCCTTCCCACAGGATGGGATCTAGGAGACTCGAGAGGCTGGGTTTCTTTCAGCATTCTGTACCATCCTGAGTAGCAAAACAAATCACACTTGGTAGCCAGATTTCTGAATGGAAAAATGAGAAATTGAATTCTCTATGGACCTTTTTGGTTTGTGGGGGAGTTTTGGTTGTGTTTCTTGGTTCTATTTCAGCCAAACATGTCTGCTTTTGATTTTTTTTAGGATAAGTGATATATATATATGTTCGCCTTTTAAATGTAAATGTTTAAAAGTAGGCAGTTTATGTGTTTCGACAACTGACATCCAACGCAGACCTCATTCTCTCCCCCTCTTCCACCCTCCTCTTTTCCCTCTTTTCATACTCTTGTATTGGTTCTAATAAATGGTTGCTTTTCAAATATGGATCCTGAGTGGTGGTTTAAAGATCTAGGTCTTACACCCCTTCCTTAAAGTGGGCCCTGGACTGTCAGTCAGTAGTCACACATGCATTTCTGAAAGAGCGGCCAGACTTGGAGAACAAAGGCTTTTTTATAAGGATCCTTTGTCTCTGACTTTCTGCAAATAGCCACAGGGTGGCACAACTCTGAGGGAATGAGAGAATATGTATCCTGTTCTGTATTCTATTCCCTTAATTCAGATTTTGTGCCTTCCTAGCTTCCATGCTCATTCCTGCTCCCAGTGGCCTTCAGAGCCCCCTAGAAAAGTCAGCTCCTGGTTATTAGAATTTGTGGAAAATCACATTGACAATCTAAACCAGGTTTGAAAATCCCAATAAATGAGAGTTTTAAAATATAACTTTTACTATCTGATTTGCTACACAAATACCAAAGAAACTATCTTCTCAGGATCAAATTATTGTGGGTCAGGAATAAGGCAGGGGGCGGGCAATTGAAAGTTGGATCAGGAGGGAAAGAATGTAGATAGGTAATCAAGAATTTATTAGGTAATGTAAGCCTGATGCAGTTCTGAATCTAACAGAGATGGGCAGAAATTCACAGAAGAGTGAGAAATGAGGAAGATGGAGGGACCCCAGAACCCAGACGTCTTCCCACTATGGTCTTCCTACTCAGCCTTCCTCCGAAGGCTGAGCCCCCTTGATTCCACCATCTCTTACCTGCAGTTCTCCCTGTTGTCGCTTCTTGCTGCTGAGTTATAGGGTCTCCCCAGTCTAATCTCATAAAGTCTTATAAAGACATCTGTAGGTTGGCTGGTTTAATGGTCCATGACCTCATAAACATGGGACAGGAGAGCCATTTGGTCCACTTCAGAGCCAGACCCTTCTGGACATTATTTATTTGCTACCTCTGAAGCCTGGGACTGCTTGCCCCTTTCCCTTTAGATCTCTTTCTAGTTCTCTCACCAGCATGCCACTTTGTCTCTGCCTCGGGCCCAGTGGAAAACAAGACTTCAGGGTTTTGACACCCGCACTCCAACTCCTAAACAAGTGTGTCTTGGTTTTTCTTTCCCTCCAGTGTGTCAGAGGGTATGCCTGCATGGCACTCATTCAGATGAGCTCATCGTCACTCATAACTCTTCTCCCAGGAATCTTGCCTCTCCGTGTGCTGGAGGAGGCCAGAGCCCAACAATTTTGCCTCCCCTTTTGTCTCCACTAAAGGGCTGCAGTGCTAGTGAAATCGATGCAGCGCTGACAGCCTGGGGAAAATGGAGGATCGCTGTGTGGGAGTCTGTGCTTAGTTGGACTGCTGAGCACACAGCTCGAAACCGCCCTGTTAGGAGTAAGCAGCCCCCAGGCAGCCTCCGCCCTTTGCGAGGAAGTGTGAGCTGGGGTGAAAGCCCTAGTGTTGAGGGCTGCTGCACAGGAGTGTGTGCTGCACGTGAGCGTGCCTGTCACAGCCTGCGGACATGCCAAGCTAGCGCTACCCAAGCCTTGAGTGTGGCCTGTGGGGGGAGGGGTGCAAACAAGGCAAAAGCTGGGGCCAGCTGGTGTGTGGAGCACGCCACCTGAGGACTGGGGCTCTTATTGCAGCAGACTGGCGGGGAGTGAAGACTGAGTGAGAAACCTCGTGAACTCACCTGCTTCAAGTCGTGGACAAGCTGAAGGCGCATGAGGGGAAGGGTCTGGTTCTCAGCTCCTTGGGTCCTCGGCCTTTGTCTCCTCCTCCCCACTCTGCTCTCTTGCTTCCCACACCCCCTCTGCAGCTGGAACATCTTGATTTCCAGGTGCCAGCTCCCTCCTCTCTCAGCTTCTGTCTTTATTTGTGCGTCTGTATTTTTTATGGTTTCTCCCCTTTGTCTACTATATCGTGTGTGTTTTTCTCTTTCTTTGTCTTTTTTCTTCTCATTTCTGGCCTCACCACCCCATGTTCTCTCCGCCTCCTTTAAATTCCATAAGTAGCCTCAATTTGGACATTTAATTTCCACCCCATCAAATTATTATCTTTCTTGCAACAATCTGGGACTCTTTACGAGCCCTTTCTACCCCATGCCACCTCTGGAAACAGGTGCATCTCTTTCTGTGTATAATGTGATGCCCCCTCCCAGACGGCAAGAGGCGGTGCTGGCTCCACAGCCTCATGCCTCTTCTCAGGAAAGCCTTGTGTGATCATTTGGTTCTGAGCCAGGGAGAGGAAGAGATGCTGAAAATTGAGCTTGCTGATAAATATGGGGGCTGTTGAGATGAAAAGGTTTGGGGTTACTATGGCACCCTTTCCTTTTTTGCCCCGCTTCCTACCTCTGCTCTCTTCTGGGGAAGGAAGCCGGTGGGAAGCTGAAGTCTTGGCCACAGCTGCTGCAGCTTATGAACCTCTGCTTCTGCATCTGCACCAAGGGTGGTGTGGGGGCAGGTGAGATCTGCAGCAAGGAAGGAAGGGCAGGTGAGCCCTTGCCTGTGCTGCGTAGGAATGCGATGGACCATTCCTTCCGCTGTTTGCAAACCATGCAGCACTCTCTGTGCAGCCTGTTCGCCTCTTACTTCCTCCACCCCCTGACCCTCTGCTGCTTTATGTTTCAGCTCTTCCCGGCAGGAGCCAGGAGAGCCCAGCTCCCAGAGACCTGCCCTGACTGTGTTCCTTTGTCCTCTGCCATGAACCCCCTTTCTCTAGGTCCTGCCTCACCATTCCAGGCGTGTCTCCACAGGGAGCTGGGAGGTGGAGGGGACAGAGCTACTATGATGCTCCCAGGAGAGAGCAGGGCTGGGACTATCTGCGGCTGCAGAGGGTGCAGTGCGGGCACATCTCCCGCTTCTAGACCAGGACGCAGATGTTCCCTCTGTTTTCTCTTCCCCTTTTGTTTGCCTCTTCCTGACTTTTTCTCTTATCGTCCTTTCTCCATTTTTCCCTTTCTACCATCTTCTCATTCCTCTCTCCCTTTTTCCTCTCCGTTTTTTATTTCCTGGTTTCTAGGAGTAGATAGCTAATAAGAGGGTTTGAGGGAAGAAGTTGAGAGGGAAAGAAAAGCACAGATATTTTCCTCTTCCCCTTTGGAAGTGTGGGGAAAGGAAAACCGCCTATCTCTCTTCTTGGGGATGGAGCGTCTCCCATCCTCAGCCCTCCTGATTCTCTCAGCAATGATGTCTAAAACAAGGATTCTTAACCTTGAAAAGCAATTTCTATTTTTATTGTGCTCTTCATGATTTTGTATGTGAAAGAGACCCTTGCCATCCCCACAGAAACAGAGTCAGTTCTCTTTGTGGTATTTTTCTGTTAAAAAAAATTCAAGACAATCACTTTTGAGAATTTTATAATCCTCCTTGAGATGACTGGAGTCTTGTAACAAGACTAGAAATCCACATCTTTAGTGTCCAGCTAAAACAATTGGATCCTTATTTCTGCCTCAATCTTTTGCTGCCTTTCAGCATGGGAGTAAAAACTTCCTCCTTTGGAGATCTCCATTGCCCCATTCATCAGCCTAAGGGATCAGAGGGCAGGTAGAAACCATCTTGCTGACCCCCCTCCCCATGTCTCTTTCACTCAAAGCAGAAAAGAGAGTTTCTGGTTTGGATTAAGGAGCGGGTCAGCTGTGGTTGGGGACGAAGTTGCAAGCTTGGATAAAGGAGGTGGAAGAGAGTGAGGAGGCGGCACAAGCTTGTCCGTGTGAAAAACTGGGAGACTGGAATGAAACGAGGACGTTTGGGAGATGAAGGCTTAGAAAAACAGATGATGTGCAGGGGACCCGTGCGTGTGCGTGTGTACACCAAGACACAGATGCGGGGAATGTGGAAGCTCACGGAGGGCCTGCATCCTCGGCCTCCAGGCAGAATGTCTTCTTCACCCAGACACAGACGGCTGAAACTTCACTTCTGAAGGGCTCTGGGCAATGAATCAGCTTAGCGTTTACCCTCATGTGTTCTGAGTTAGAATAGTCTTTGCTCGGGACTGCATGACTCCCCTGAAAATCTAAAAAACATTTCTGATCACTTTAAGATGCCCTTCTGCATCCTGAATGACTTTAATTTCCACCCTGGTGTAGGGGTGGAGGGCCTGGAATCCTGATGTTTCCTTCCCTCCATCCCCAGACCACCTGAGGTGGTCCCAGGAAGTGTATGAGAGGGGAGCATATATAGGGGGGCAAACTAGGGGGTTGGCAGTACAGGTGTCTCATTGGAGGAGGGGTACCCTAATGCACATTAGAGATTTCTCAGAACTGAGTCGCTGTTGCTTTCTCCAAAAAGAGATGGGGCAAAGAGCTTCCCTTTCCTCCCCACAAAACGGCAGGTCTGTGTGTGTGCGAGTTGGAGGGATGTGTTAATTTGAATATCACTCTGTGAATACATGTTTGTGTTCATTTGAATATATTAAATTCCACTGAGTCCAAGTTGAGTCACTAATAGAGGGGAAGCAATGGCCTCAGTAATTCAGGGCAGTAGATAATCCCCAAATCATTTATGAATATGATTGAAAGGTGCTTTGGACTATGCTCTGGATGGGCTGTGGAAAATGTCTTATGGGCTTCTCAGGGCCAAGAGGAAGAAGTCATTAAGGAAGGTGGAGGAAAGCTGCTCTTAGCTCTGTACCAGGACAGCCATACAGATCGGAAGCAGAAAATTGCAGGTGATGTGTCTGTTCAGGTGGAAAGGCCAGAAGGCCAGAGAGGGCTTCAGGGGCAGCATGCTAGCAGAAGGCCAAGGGCACAGGGCGGCAGGATAAAGTGTGGATTGAGAGAGGGTAGGAAGCAATATAAGCTCACAACTGACCTTGCTCCAGACTTAGCCAAAGCACCAGCCCAGAACAGCCCAGGCAATGGGAAAGAATCATTAGGTGAGAATTCAAGTCAGGCTTTGTCATTCAGGCTGTGTGATATTGGGTAAATTAATTTGCCTCTCTGGGTATCAGTTTCCTGAGGAGACTCAGTTCAAATGTTGAATAATTATTTAATTTTTCATAAAATATTTTATCTCATAATCATAACAAAAATTGATATAAGCAAAAATTGGAAAAAGCATAATCCTAGCATATTAATATAATACATATTTTTATGTTTGTGTGCTTGACTAGGTTTTGTCCATATTGGCTGTTTTTTGTTCAAATTCGTGTTTTTACGTAGTGTGTGTACCATTTTGTATTTTTTTAACTTAGCATCATAAAATTGTCCTGTAGCACTAAGTACTCTTGACAACAATTGTTTAAAACTCTTATGAATGTACTATGTATGGATGCTCTCAGGAGCTGGTGTCTGGAAGGCCCCCTTCAACCTCTCTGGCTGCTTCATCTCAGCCTCATACCTTTGAAATAGCGGTGGTTCCAGTGTTCCAGTCTCAGCTCCCATCTCACTGTTCCCTCCTCCTGAGATAGCTCATCTGCTCTGACGATTTCAACCACTGCTCATGACAAGGCTCATGACCCCCAAATCTACCCCTCTGGGCCTCAGCTGTTTCTTTGTTTCCTCTGTATCCACTTGCTTTCTGTTGCCTCCTGAGTATTCCGGAGACTTCTCAAAGCAAAGAGCTTTACTGATGGTTACGTGTCATCCCTGCCTTCCGGAGCTCACAGTCTAAGATGCAGTTGGTGCTGGGGGATGGGCATTCCAGATTTTCTGGTCATTACAGATGACCAGATGGTCATTACGGAAAGATGGCGGTGAACAACGATGTGAACATAAGTTAGAGAACGACTTGATATGACATCGAGGGAGGCTGGATTTGTCTCCATCATCACTAGCGAGTGTGAAACTCACCAAGAACACCAACAATGAATAGTTCACAAGACCTTCCCTGCCCAGAATGTCTGGCCACCTCTGGCCGCAGCCCCACAGTCCTGCCTCTAGCCCTCCTGCTTTCTGCATTGCACTGTCCTGGTCTCGATACCCTATCAGTGAGGCTGCCCCAGCAGCGGAGGTTAGATGTTATCTATGTCCCTTGAAGAAGCTGAAGGTATTGGTTTCTGAGTGGGATCTCCAAAAAGTGGCTCAAATCACTATGGCCCTGGTGGTGTCTCAGGCCTGGGAGGGGAAGCAGAGAGGACAGAGGTGGGGAATTAGAGCGAGATGATGGAGACCTCCCCTGGGAGACCAGGGAAAACATCTGGGATGGAGAAAGGATAGGGTTTCTAGAGGGTGAGAAGGATGGGAAGAAACTAAGCCCAAGAAGAAAGAGGAGAGGAAACGGAAGCAGAAAGGGTGGCTGCACAAAAGGAGAGGAAAAGAAAAGAGAGTGAAAAGAAAGGTGAGAAGGATAAGGTGTGATAGGAAGTGAGGGAAAAGTCACCACACGAGGGAGGGGCGCCTCCTGGACACTGTCATCATGAAAGAAGGTAAGGAGTCTCAGCAGGGACAACCTCACCAAGCCCTCCTGTCTGTGGGATGGGGTGAGAGGCCTGGACATTCCTGGGGTGCCCAGCCTGTTGGATGTCATAATCCCTGACACACACACAAGTCAGCCTCCTATAAGATAACTGAGTAGTCAGTTGTCTCACTCAGAGAAGATGCCTGGTGGGGCTCTATGGGTGAGAGTGGGCTGGAACTCTGTATCAGTTCCCTCGATGTTAGGCACCACCCCTGTCTGGTGTGAAGCTGGGTCCAAGCTGCATCTCTTGGTGAGATAGGACTGGGTGTGTGTGTCCAAGGGGATTTCAGGGTTAGGATGATGGAGTTTGGCACCAGTTCAAGGAAGTTTGCACCGGACTGGAAATAGAGCTGGGATGAGGGAGGCTCTGACCTGAGAAGGGGTAGGGCAAACCCTGGGCAAAGTCAGAGGGATCAGACAAGCATGGAGCAAAGTGGAGCTTTCTATGGATGAATGCATTTACACCTCACAACTCTGAGAGGAGACTGAGCCCTCTGTGATCTGCCCGAGGTGTCCCAGTTGATTAGTGGTAGAGCCAGGCCTGGAACGCAGGTCTGTCTTCCCCAGAACTCTCTGCTGTGTTCTGTTTGCAGAGGCTTTGGCTGTGCCCCTCCCAATCCGGAGATGCCTATTTATGGCAAGATTGGCCATGATCAAGGGCACACTGGCCAATTAGGGGCCCTGGGAGCCTGCTGTAAATTGGCCAAGGGAGCACAAAGCCACTGGAAGAGACAGGGGGCATAGGGGTGGGGGTAGGGGGAGGGAGTGAGGGTGTCTGTGAATGGGACACCAAGACATGCCTGGGAGGGAACCGGAAGAACAGGGGAGGGAGTCGGCGACCAGGACTCAGTTCTCAGAGGATGGCCCAGAAGGCTCACCTGCCAGTAGCCGTTAAGCTGCTGGAGGTGATTTGGGGGTTTGTGCTGCCCCCTGGTAGCCATTGAGGGAACAGCAGTGAGGACCCTTAGGCAACAAACAGGTATGACCTCTACCCTACTGGATGAATGCCTTGCTGTCTATGCATTCCTGCAGAAGGCATACTGGTGAAATTTGAGGGCCTGGAAACCTCAATCCCTTTAGCTTCTTGGCTCAGATTGTTCGTGGAGGTGCTTTCATCCCCAGGGGAAGGGGGCAAGATGGATCCCCACATCGTCTGTCTGGACCTCAAGGAATCCAACCCTTTTTGACAGGTAGTACACATTTCATGAACTATTTCATTCAATTATTATGAAATCCCTATTAATAGTCAATGTTATTCCCATTTTGACAGTTGAGGAAACAGCCTCAGCAAGAGGAAGTTAATTTTTCCAAGGTCATGCAGCACTAGAGTTTGAACCTAGGCCTCTTGACTCTGAGTCAGGTGCTCTGTCACTGTGCCAGCTCCCCCCACTCATAATCCTCCTGGCTTCTCACCCCTCACCCCCTTGGGGGTGCCTGGAGAGGTATGAGAGGACCCAAAAGGACCGGGGAGAGGGGCTCTCCTGTGGGCTCACAGAGGTCATGTGAAGGCCACTTGGGACCAGTGGAGCCCTGAGTGTCTGTATGTGTGTCATATTCCTAGTGCCTGGGACAACTGCAGCTTTATTCTTCATTCATTCATTCACTCACTCATTCAGTATTTCTGAGCATCTCCTGGGACCAAGCTCTGTGGGAACTGGGACACAGCAACAAAGTGAGAGAAATTAGGGAGATCTCCCCAGAGGACAGACAAGAGGGAGGGGTGGTCCAGGTGGAGACGAGGCGCAGGTAAAGGGCAGGCAGAGGGAGAGAGCTCACGGGGAGTCTGATGACTCGCCTGCAATTTTGTGTAACTGAAGCACAGGCTGTTGTGGGCCTGGGTCTGGCTACGATGCAGGAGACAAAACTGAAGATAAAGAAAGGAGGAATGCGGCAGAACGTGAGGGGCTTTTCTTGGCGAGAGTGAACAATATAAGCTTTATTCTGCAAGCCTAGGGGGTCTGCAGTGTTTTAAGCTGTTGACCATGATCAGACCTGTTTTCTAGCAAGGTACCCACGGAGGCAGGACTGCCACCTAGAAGGCTACCACTAGTCCTGGCACGAAAATCTGACCAGAAGCCCCCGGCCCGAGGCGTCAGAGAGACGTGAATAGATTTAGGAGACAATGACCCGGTCGAGTCCAGGAGAGATGGAGAAAGGGGGATCTGGGGGTTCAGGCCTGGCCTGCGGCTGCAGCTGCAGCTGCGGCATGCGAGGCAGACAGACGCCCAGAAGGTGGCGCGAGGCGGGGCAGGGCCGGACAGCGCCGGCGGCTGCTCAGGGAGGCGTGAGAACCCGCGGCCCCCGGGGCGCGAACAGGCGCGGCGGCGGCGCGGGACCCGCTCGCCCGGAGCCTCCCGCCACGAATTTATGGCCCAAAGCCGGATGCAGCTGTGCGCAGCTGGGGATGCAAATGTATGCAAATTTGCATTGCCCGGGCCGGGGCTTGGTAGCTAGCAGCGTCAAAGGGTGGGGGAAGGGGCGCAGCACTGTTAGCGCGCTTCCGCTCCCCAAAGGAGCTCAGACGCGGGTGGGGGTGGGATGCATCTTCTCAGGAGTGCAACGGTCTATCGTGACGAACGTGGGGTCCCGTCCCTGTCCTCGATGACCTTGCGCACCCCCCATCCCTCCTAAGGGTGGGCAGAGGGACGGCCCCTGGCGCTGACACTACCTGAGCCCCCGGCTGGGGAGAGCTTCCTTCGCTGTGAGCGGGAAGGAGCCGCAGGGCAGGGGCTGAGGATTCCTCGGAGAACTCGGAGAACGCTCTCCCCACTGCCAGGGAAGGGGAGGGTCGGAAAGCCTGTCTTCTTTCATCCCTTCATCGCAATCCATCCTCCTGCTTCCCAGCCGCTTCGAGAGAAGTCCTTCCAGGAGTCTAACCACAGTCTCACTTGCTACTGTTTGTGTTTTATTTTTCCTTGTGATTTGGCGAGAAGACTCTATTCCCGAAGTCCCAGTTGTTGGGTTTTGATGGTATGGGAATGGGTGGAGGATTTCTGGGCATAGCGAGCCACGAAGGCCCCCTAGGGAACAAGTCCCTACCCCAGGCAGGATAGCAGGGAGGCTGGGCAGGGGACTGTCATCTCCCGGCTCTGGCCTCCTTTCTTCGCCGGCTCTTCTCACAACAGCCACAAGGGGTCTTCCTTGCGCTAAGAATGGGAAATCCCGCGCTGGGCTCGAGCGCTGGGAGGCAGCGGCGCGTGGCGCAGTGTCCTTTCTGCGGCCCCTGAGCACCCAGACCCGCCGGCGTCTGCCCACCCCCGCCCTACCCCAGTGGCTTCACCCAGTCACCGACGACCTTCAGCTCTCTTACCCTGCGCCCTGGACTGGAGATCGGTACTCCTGGATCTCCCGCTCCTTCCTCTAAGCCTAGGGAGCCGCCGGAGGGGCTGGGAGTTGAGGCGAGGAACTCGGACCGGAGGCATAGTAGGCGCTCAAATAGTTTTGAGATCAATGACAGAATGTGGCGGCATCCTGTTCAGAAGCTGGGGGATGGGTGAGATGACCTAGGTGCGGTGGAGCAGAACTCCCATAAACAGAGGGGCACCACAGAGGCAGTGCAACTTCCCACCGAGGAAACTGAGTCCATCTACGCGCCCAGGCGCGTGGTACTTGGATACTGGTACGGCCGGGGAGGTCCTGTAGTGAAAGGGGAAATTGGAAGGGAGGGGGCAGCCAATCAGAAAGCAATCTTGGATTATCTTGACGGTGAAAGCAGGCAGAAAGCAAAGATCGGGGCCCTTAAAGGGAAGCCTTGTCAGGATGGGCAAACGGGATGTCAGCGTGGAAGAGGGAATAGAGCTTTGGATTATTTAGCTAAGAGAAGGAATGTTAAAGCACCCACTTGCTCCGCTGAGGACAGAACTTGTAAGGTTTAGCTGAAGTTGCAGCAGGAGGAATGGTGGTCAGACACCAGGAAGGACTTCCCCGTTGGAGTCAGACCTGAGGGGATGGTGTAAAGGAATGATGACGTCGTTCCCGGGGGCTGAAGGCGAATTACCTGCAACCCCCGCCCCCTTACTGTGGAAACTCGTAGGGGCAGGAGAGATAATATGGTTAAAGTTGGCGGAAGCCTAGGTGGAGGCGGCCGTCCTTCCCGCACGAAAGGGGCTGCGGGGCCCGAGGGGTAGGCGGCGAACGACCAGGTGCTCTCACTCTCACCGCCCACCGCGACAGACGCCTGGGTGGCCCCGGGACCTGGCTCCACCCAGGGCTTGCCGGGGACCTCTCCCCAGCCGGATGGGGCGGGCTGTGTCTGGAGAGTCCGAGTCTCGGACCCCACATGGGCAGCGCCGACCTCCTCGAAGATCCGCAGAGGGGCTCCGGCGGCACCTCGCCCGCCTGCCCCCCGCTTTGGCGCGCTCAGGGCACTTCCAGAAACGTCCTTCCTGTACCCCTATTCCTGTTCCGAGGGCTCCTTCGGGAACCTTGCCCTGCCTGCGCCAGCCGGGCCGGAGTCCTCTCGCTCCTCTGTTTCCCCTGGGTGACCCTCTGTGAACAGGGACCACACCTTGATTAGCACAGAGTAGGGACACCAAATATAGCCTTGGGGTGGAAGCCAGGGTTTAAGTCTTGCACTTACTAACCCTGCGACCTGCGTTTGAAGCCTCCATTTCCTCACCTGTGAAATGGGGCCGCACTCCTGTCCTGTTCGGTTGAAAGGAGGTCTGCGTGAAGTAATGGAAGGGAAAGCAATTTGTTGTATGCAAATAAGAGCCGTGGGAGTTCGAGCCACACCCCCCCCTGCGTGCGCAGGCGTAGGTACACCCACACTCACACATGCATGTTGAGGGTGCTGGGGGGTCCCCGGAGGAGATCGAGCAAAAGCTGGAGAGCCAACGGTCCGAGAAGCCGGAGAGGGAGCCCAACAATGCGACGGGTGGCCCCAGAACTGGCTGTCCCAGACCTAGACGGCTTCTCCAGGGCTGGACCCCCGTTCCCTGGGGGATTCTGAGCGCAGCCCAGCGCGCGCGGCGGGAGAGCGGGAGGGGAGACTCCGCTGCGGAAGCGGCGAGTCCGGGCTTCCGGGGCCGGCCCGGCAGAGGGCGCCCGGGCCCGCGCCGCCACCTCGCCGCCGCCCTCGCGGGAGCCCTCTCCAGGGCCGGCCCGCCTCCCGCGCGCCCTCTGCTGGCCACAGGGGGCCCCGCCCCGCGGCCCCCTCCCTAGGCCACCAAATGGGCGGGTTTCTGCTTATCTCTGTTCTCCTGGCCACGCCCCCCTGCTGATGGCACACGCAACTCAGACGTCCGACCCTCCAGCCAGGCCTGGCTCTAACTCCCCCGATCTCTCAGCTCTGTGAGGAAGGTCCAGCTCCTCCCCACCCCTCAAAAATGTGGGTGACTCAGAGTCCCCCGTTTCCTGTGCATCTCCACACCCACGCTGGACCGCCGGCGCTGGGCAGTGAGGAAAACCGGAGCAGCCTCATGCTTAGAGTCTCTCTATCCAGACCGATGGAGGTTTGAGATTCAACCTGCCGGCTCCCAGCTCCCTGGCCGCCGCCTGGTCCCAACCTGTCAGTCCTTGCGGATTCTCATCTCAGCCCGGACACGCTTCCGCCTTCTAAGTGGCCGCGGGGCCTACCGCCTCTCCTCTGCACCTCCCATATTCTCCTCCTAAAACAAAAATCAGTGCAGGTCACTCTCCTCCTTAAACCTCTAGTAGCTCCCCATTGCCTGCCAGAAAAGGGCCAGACTCCTGCTCGGCCCCCTCATCCTTTCTGATCTGGCCTCCCGTCTCACCAGGTTGCCTCCTTGCCTCCCTACTCACGGTTCTGCACACACATCCTGCTCTTCCCTGTCTTTGCACGTACTTTTCTGTCATCACTTGGCAAATTCCCGCTCATTCCTCCAGGCCCAGTTCAAATGTCCACTCTCTGGGATTTTTTTCTCTGACACCCCCAGGCGGGACGTTTCTGTGCTCCCGTGGACTTTATACACACCTCTTTTTTACGGCACTTGTCCTGGGGCATTATCTATTTGCGAGTCTGTTTTCCCCTCACAAGTACTTGAGCGCCTCTAGGGCAAGGTCGGGCTCTTATTCGTCCTTGCACATCCTGGCAGTGTGATATAGGGCTGCTCAGTGGGACCAAACAGTGCCTCAGCCCCAGCCATGCGGGATCGGTGTCTTGTGTCTGCCCCTGGGCCTGGAGCGTGGCAGAGACACCCATCTGTTTAAAGACTGACTGGATGTGCCAGTCATCTCCCTCCCTCACCGCAGGGGCAGGCCTCTCCCTCCCTTCTCACCCCCAGGAGACCAGCCTGGCCCTCTTTCTCCTGGCATTTGCTCCCCTTCCTACTGGGAAGGGGCACTCCAGCCCCTCTAGCTTCTTGAGACCCAAATCAAACTCCTTGCAGAACTTTCCTTCTCAGGAGCCCAGACACAGATGGCAGGGGCAGCTTCTCCCTGCTGTGGGGGCCTGGAGCCACCCCACTGATTCTTGGACCCCACCCCAAGTCAGCCCACCCCCACCCCCGAACTCACCGGGTCCTTGCTTGTCTAGCCTGGGGCTTAGGGGCAAAATCATAAATTTGGGAGACAAGAGGCGGGATAAAGATCATTTGTTGAAAATGGTGTCATCAATCATTTGCTGGAGAGAACACATCCAAGAATTCCCCAAACCTGGGTGCCCAGCCCCACCCCCCAGCTCCCTGTTATGCTCCCCTGCACACACGAAAGTGCCTTCCACCCCTACCCCCTGGGACCTCCCTGGTCAGCCCGTCCAGGGCTCAAGGTTGCCAGTTGGTTTGTCTCAGCCCTTTCCATCTGCATTCTCCTAAAGGCCTCAGGCCCGCTCCCTTCCTGCCCCAGGTGCGTCTCAGGATGGAGAGATGGAGAAGTCCCACCCCCACCCTCCCCTGCCCCCATTAACGATCACATTTCTGAAAGAGCCTGGAGGGGAGATTCCCAAACTCCTGGTTGCAGAGTTTCAGGTTGAGGATGAACAGATAAATAATGGCTTGCTAAATTAATTAATTATTTTATTAGCCTGAGTAATTATTAATCAGGTCATTAATCACCCAGCTGTGCACTATGAATAGTAATTGCGTGGTGGGTGGGGGGGGAGCAGTGGTGGAGCAGGTTATGCCTCTAAGGTCTGGCAGCGTCTGGACCTTCTTCTGGTCCTAGGAAGGTTCGGGAAGGTTGACAGGCCCCATCTTTCCCCCCACCTTCACACCCCATCTTAGATTAGGGACAGAACCGGGTCTACCTGGATCCCTTGGCGAGGGCAGGCACAGCTTCGGCCTTCTCCTGACTTCTAGAGTTCAGATGGAGGCAGGGACGTGTGCATGGAGGTGAAAGGAAAAGGAAGAGGGTTTGCACGTGTGTGTGTGTGTGTGGACAGGGTGAGGACAGGGTGGGACACAGTGGGAAGAGACAGAGAGAGGCAAGTCCTAAATGTGCCAGATGTCCCCAGGATCTCAGTCTGACCTGTCAGTTGACGTATAAGAGCGATGCTAGGATTGACTCACTTTTGCCTTTGAACCTGATGCTTTGGGATGGTGTAGACGCTACCAGAGATGAGGAGAAATAGAGGAGGTAGAGTCCGGAGGAGGGAAGAAGAGCAAGATGAGGCAGAGTCAGGAGAGGAGCGGAGGGAGGAGGGCAGGGTGGCAATGGCTCTTTACCTTTGGGTTTGGAGCCCCGCCGGCGCCAGTATTCCATACTGTTTTCTTGCTGGGGTGTCTGATGATTCCTCTGTGCCCTCTTTTCTACACATACAACCCACCCTACTCAGGACCTTCTCTCTCCTGAGGTCTGGCGTGGGCCCCAGCTTCTGAATCTTTCTCCTGGGCTATTTCCTGGGATTCTGTCCACTGCCCTGTGGGGTTGGAGGGAGGGGAGCTGTGAGGATAAAAAGAGAAGGTGAAGTGGTGGCAGATGACAATGTGCCCTTGACACCAGAAAGTCACTCTGTAAGTCTCACCTCCATCCCTCGTGCTGTTTGGAGATCCTATCAACTCGTGTTCTTGTGCGGGTCCCCTTCAGAGAGCAGTAAGCTCTTGTCCCTCATGCTGTCCCTTTCCCAGGGCCTCCTTCTCCCTGGGCCAGGAGCTCCCTGGTCCCCTTCCCTTACTCACTTGGGGAGGGGTCAGTGATTATGTTTTTAACCACCCCAGGCCCCTCTGTTATGGCCCATCTCACTTTCTGTTTATGGTGAATTTTACTCTTTATTTACAGCAGGCCCTGCTTTGTTATGACCTGTTTGGGGTCAGTTTCATTTTTGTGTCTCCAGTTTCTCTTCATGCGCTGTGTGTTTATTCCTCCTCTTGGTTCCCTCTTTGTAGGCCCTCCCCTAAGCCCCCACTCTGAGAGGGCTCAGGGGAGGGGAGGGCCTGGCTAGGAGCACCTGGGCCCTGCAGCTTGAGGAGACGTTTGGGCTGAGGGGGCTCCCGGGTGGCTCCGACTCCTGGCCTGGGAGGCTGATGTAAGGACATCTACCTACAAAGAGGAGGGAGCTGGAGGTGGCCCCTGGGTCTGGAGAAGGCCTTTCAGGAGAAGGGGTCCTCAGGTGCCCAGCCCCACCCATTTGGGGCTCAGGCTGCTGTGAAAATATGGACCCCCACACTCCTTGGCCCGGCCTCTGAAGCGCCTGTCCGCTGGGCATCCCTGTTCAGTGTATCCTCCCAGCAGAGCTCTGGGGCCAGGGCAGGGGGTCAGGCACAGGGGCAGCTTCTGACAAGACAGAGCCTGTCATGAGATAAACACAAACATGGGGCCTGGAACCCAGCCTCTTGTTTGGAATTCTTGACGGCCTGGGGAGTGGGGTCGGGTGTGGGGAGGGGGCAGTTGGCAGGAAAGGGACTGGAGGGTGGAGAGCAGGCCACCTGGAAGGTCTGGGGGTGCAGAAAGGGGGGACCGCAGGCCTTGACATTCCTCAAGGACTTGTTGCTGATGACTTTGAGGAAAGGTCTAGCATCCAAAGTCCCCCCAGCCGGACCTACCTTCTTATGAAATCACTCAATGGTGGGCATGGGTGGGTGGGCAGAGAACGGGGAGATCTGGGAGTTCTCAGCACCTCGGGTCAGGAAGGGGACTGCAGCCCGGTCTCAGCCACCGTCCCAAATTCTTCCTCTGGTCTAACTTCCACCCCTCCCTCCGTAAGGGACTGGGGGTGGGGCAGGAGGGGGTGAGGGCGAGCAGGCCAGCTTCCTTTCTCTTCCCTAGCGATTCTCCCCGGGAGTTGTTCATCTTCAGCCAGGTTCTGAGCGTTATCTGGAAGACACTCCAGGGAACGAGCTCCAGCTCTGCCAGAGTCTTTATCTTGCCTGCAGACAGACTCAATTAACCTCTTCCCATCCCGGGTGTGCATGGGGGGGCATCCTCCTCCCACACCTAGTGACCCCTCTTTCCGTGTGTCTCTGGGGGCATCTCAGCCATTCCTCCTTCTGCATGTCCTCCCCTGCCCCAGTCTTTGTCTGGCTGGGACATCCCTGGGAAGGAGGCGTCATATTTTCCCTAGCTCCCTTCCCCTGAACTCTCTCTGCCTGAATCAGTGGGAAGCCCCGTCAAGGCCTTCCTTCATCTCTCCTCTTCCATTCAGTTTCATCTGCCCACACTTTTCCTTACAACGCAGGCTGTCTAGTTCTTGACTCTCACTCCAAAACCTCTCGGGGTCCTATCGCCCACGGTGCTTTACTGGATTCCATGGAGGTTTTCCCAGGCACTTGGGACACTGGGGAGAACCTCTGCGTCTTCCTGGGCCTCCTCTCCCTCCGCAGCCTCAGGTTTCCAGCAGCCCAGGGGAGAGGGGTGTGCAGTTCTGTGCATTGCCAGCAGAGGGCAACACACACAAGCCCAGGCAGAGTGTGTGGAGGCGGAGGGGTCTGACGTGGGGCCCCAGTGGTGAGAGGTGGGACCCGGCAGCTTGTGGCAGACGGAGTGGCCTGCGGGTAGAAGTAGCGGAAAATTTCTAGGACCCCTAAATGGGGTGGGAATCTCTAGTTCTTGGCCTTATTTACAAACTCTGTAGTTGCTAATAATATCAGCTGCAATTTGGGGCAGGCACTTTATAATGTGTCAAATTCTCAAAATAACCATGAGGTACTATTATTTTCATTTTACAGAAGGGTACACTGAGTCTTGGCAAGGTTATATCAT